CGCAGAGATCAATAAACTCAAGAGCCAAAAGCCGCCCGTGAAGACGACAGCCGCCTCGCCATCCGCACAAACGACACCCAAACGAACTGCAAACCTGATGTCCACCTCCCTGATCGTAACCTCTAGCTCATCGCGGCTGAGTAGTGCCGAAAAGAAGACGCCCTCAAAACGGGTAAGATTCCATAGTCCAAAGACTTGCAATTAAATTTATTAAATTTGTTATAAATCTACAGGAACCTCCGGTGCCCAAGGCGGCATCAGCTTCCAAGGCTCTGCCAAGTCGCACGGCCAGTTCGGAACGCATCAGCCGGCTCACCAAGGAGCCGAAAACCAAGGATAACTCTGCGATGACTAGGTCCATGATTGTCACCAGCAGCAATTCCACCATCACCCCAAAAGCGGCTCCTGCTCAGGCAGCACCCGCACCTGTGTCCGCCACGGCTCCCGAGCAGAATGGCGTGGCCAAGGAGGTTGAGAAGACGCCCGCAGAGGTGCCAGTTCCTGAGGCTGCAGTTCCTACCGAGGCTCCCGTTGTAGTTCCTTCAGTAAGCAAGGCTGAAAAGGAGGCTCTGAACTCGGAGAAAACGGAGGAAGTGGCGCGCCAGGAGGAGGAGCAAACTTTATTAGTGGAACCCGTGCCCGAGGCCTTGATAACCTCGGTGAATGTAGAGGAAAAGTCGGATGAGGGCACTGAAAAGGAGACACCCAAGGCCCAGGAGCAGGCAGCGCCAAAGAAACCGTCGCGCAGCAAGGAGAACTCCGAGGTGCGCGAGCTGACTCCACCAGAGGGAGCAGATCTGATGACCGCATCGATGATGGCCAAGAAGATCACGACCGAGGAGGAGGCCAAGGCCGCTTTGGCCGAGAGACGACGCCTGGCCCGCGAGGAGGCCGAACGACAGGCGGAATTAGAGCGCCAACGACTGGAGGCTGAACGCCTGGCAGAGATAAAGGCCCAAGAGGAGGAGGCCGAGCGCCAGCGCCTGTTCGAGGAGGAGTCCACTCGCCTGGCCGAGGAACAGCGCCGCGGCGAGGAGGAGCGCCTGCGCAAGGCTATCGAGGTAAGACGTTTACGCCCAACTAGGAACAAAGAAATCTAATTATTTTCTTTTGTCTGCAGGAAGCCCAGCAGCGAGAGGAGGAGGAGAAACGCAAGCGCGAGGATGAGGAAAAACAGCGAGTGGAGCGCGAGGAGGCCGAGAAGAAGGCCAAGGAGGAGGCAGAGAAGCAGCGCGTCGAGGTGGCCGAGCGGCTCAAGAGGGAGGAGAAGGAGCGCGAGGAGCGCCGCAAGCGGGTGGAAGCCATCATGTTGCGCACCCGCAAGGGGGGTGCTGCCACCACACCCTCAAAGGTAAGGATCTACTTTTATTTACAATCAAATTTTGATATAATATAATCTTATTATTTCCGTTCATATTGTTCACATAAAAACAAGTTTGTCATAAGTAAAAATAAGCAATTGTGGCTTAAATGGAAATTCAAAATTATTTGTTCCTTTAATCCTTTTGTTAGTGTATAAACTATTGAATTTATCTTTGATTCAAATAATAAAAATACTCCTTATTCCAGGACGCTAACGACAAGGCAGCTCCTGCCGCAGCAGCTCCGGAAAACAATGGCAGCAGCAACAGCAGCATTGGTGGCAGCAGCAACAACTCGGCTGAAGGCTCGCCCAGCACTGCAGATTCCACGCCAGCGCCCACGGCCACGGAAACAGTCCAGGAGCCGCCCAACAGCCAGGCGATGTACGAGCAATCGGTGCTAGACAAGGAGAACTCGCTTATTAACAGTTTCTCCACAATGATCATCGATGAGAATGCCAAGAACCTGCAGCAGGTGACCAACGGCAAGTTGCTGGTGGACTTCGAGGGCACCAATACTGTCCCAGCAGTGGCCAACGGCAATGGTCACATCGAGAATGTCAACAACAAGAAGTGAGTATACGGAATTTGCTTCGTTTTATATTATTTATATCATGACGGTTCATTTCAGTGACATAAATCTGCTGCAGGACGCAGTTGCTCCGGTCGCCACCCAACTGATTGACCTGAGCATCGAGTCACAAGATCTACACCTGAACAATAATAACAGCTTGCTGACGAGCACCGCGGCAACCACCACGCTAGTCACTGCTGATAGTCACGAGAATAAAGGTACTTTCAAATTATTTAATTCACCTAATAGTCCACTAATTGTAATTTATAAACCCATCAGATATATCGCTGCTGTGAATTGGATGAGGAAACCAAACCTGATTGTTTTCTAAAACCTAAATCTTGATATAGCTAAATGTGTGTGGAGTTGGAGTATTTATTTATAGGATGAGATCTATATAGGAATGCGAGTGGAGAGTGCGACAAATTATGGTTACTAAAAACAGGAAAACGTAAAAGCTTATAAAACCCTATATATTTAAACGTACACATTATATAGATAGAGCTGAATCAGAATCAGAACGGGGATAAGAATGAGACCGATCCCAAGCGAATCGGGACGGAGCAGCTGCAAGTTAAAATTAGTTAAGAACTAAGACAAACCCTACAAGAGAAAGCGTGAGAGATAAAGGAGATCCTCCCAGAGTTCGGGGAGCGTTTGCGAAGCAATTCAATATCAAAGAAATCTATTTGTGAAGCACTACAACTAAGCTAATGAAAAGGAACATTTGATGCAATTTTCGATTCGATTCGATGCGTTTCGATATAATTTAATTAAAAACTCGCTTCAAAAGTTGAAAGTGCATGCTTACATTGAGTATAACTTAAGCCAGAGAGCAGGATATAATCGCCTGCATCGACGCCAATGCAGCGTATATAATTGAAAATTATATAAAAATTAGTAGAGATACCCCTAGTTTAAACAACGCGAGATTCTATGGGGCACCCAGATCAAATTGTGTGAGCAGGGCCCCGAGCGAGCAATAAACGTAATCGAAGTTGAAGCTGAAGACGAAGACGCGGTATCCACATACCATTAACCCCATCCACATCTACAGCGCCTCACTGCTAGGAGGGCATCCGCTCCCCTCTTTATTTTTGCCCAACTTTGCACAGTTGTTCTGTAAGTTAAGTTTACTACGTTGAGCCAACGAATCGTGAGGTATTATTTATTAAAAACAAAAACGAAACAAACGAAAAAAAATAGGAAAAAAAAGGAAATTCAATTGAAATTATTTGCTGATACTGTTTGCAGTTAGACGAGCAGATATAGGTAGCCTGTAAACAAAAGAAAACAATTATACACCCACTGTAATCACAGATGTCAGTGCTTGATATACACATCTAGTGGAAATGGCAGTACCACGTTGTACTATTTGTAATAGGAGTCCAAAATCTGATTATGCTTATGTCACCTTTTATTATAGTAAAGTTCTCTGTATATTATCTATTTTGCGTCTACGTATATATTTTTTGGTAAACAATTTTTTATATATATACACATTTATATTTGTAATTTGTATTTATCCATGTGCAAAAATAAATTATGATGATTATTTTTTAAAGAGTCGTTCCCCTCGAAGCATGCATAACAGATTGTAAAAATAAATCGATTTATATATATATGAAATCATCCCCATAGTCTACGAAACTTACACACCCACTTGTATCTGAGCGAAAGGGCCTTAACAGTTAGTAGGATGCATGATCGATGCAGATCGATTATAGAGCGATAGCAGACAGAATCGGAAAGAACACATACATTTTCGAGTGTTTCGCATGCGGAAACCGTTAATAGATTAATATATTATAATGGCAATATGTGTATGCAACTAATAAGCCCTAACTTCTAGTTAATTACTGCTTTCCTATGTTATAAACCTAATGGCGATATAATCAAAACAAAAGACAAGCCCACATAAATCAAATGTGTATGCTACCCCAAACATAACAAAAAACCTTTGAAGATCAAGCTGAATTATGTATTTTTAATATTAAATATCACACAACCCCCACAAAAGAACGAACACGACAAACAGAACAACAAATTATACAAGCAATTCCCCTATTTATTTAGAACCACACTGAAACACTGAAGAAATTCGCTTCTTATCGTAAAACCACAATTGCATAATTTATACGATTAAACAAAATATATATTTATGTGAATAAACTGTAACTAATTCTCAAGGCAAACATCTGAAAGCGATTTGCTAACTTGTTGGCTTCCAGAAACTCCCTGAAAATGTCATGGTCATCTGAATGGAATGCTGCAATGCCCTCTCGATAAGACGGAACATAGGAAGCAACGAATGGAATTTTACTTTGGTGGAACTTTATCTTATCGGTTAGTTAGTATAGTTAAAAAAAACCAACTTTAAAAGGGGTAAAAGTGATCTAATGCCTGTCAAAAGAATATTAATCAAAAAATCATGGTAAAACTATGGAGTCCCGAAAAACCGAGGGAAAAAATCTAAAGTTTTTCAATGTTTTTACACTCTTTCAAACCAAAAAGCAATTTTTTTTAAAGCATGGGAAATGCTCAAGGATGCTAGACTTTTTTCCGTTGTAAAACAGATTAGGCTTCAGTTTTATTTAAAAACAACTGACGTTAAAAAAAGCGCTATGACGTCATCAGTTTCATCACACTAAAACAGCTGACGCTGATAAGAGCAAGAGCGCAGCTTGGAGCTTTTCCGCTCCCTCTCTCACTCCAGTGTTGGGGAACACCTACCTACATACCAAGGTACAAGTTTACTTCATTTGGGTTAATATATAATTCAATATTTCCTTCCTTACCCATTTGAAAAATTATTTAAGACTATAGAGATAACACCTTAGATATTAAGGTACAGAAAATTGTTTTAATTAAAAACATTTAAATAGATAATAGATTGATTTTGATCTAGGATTCCGGTCTCAAAAGTTCAGTTAAAATTACTTTATACTTAATAATTAATTTTTACAACAAACTTATACCGCGAATAGGTACAAAGAGTCAGTACCCTACCCAACACTTTTTCTCTCTGAGCAGAGGAGAGGTTTCTTCGGTCTCCCCGATTTCGACGCCTTTCAAAACGCAGTAAGCTCTCGTTGCGAACGGACGTACCTCAACTAACTTGGCTTTAACCCTTGCGCTCCCTCCGTTTCATTCCGCGGCAAACATTCCAGTGGACAGTGGTGCATTTTAGCATTCGAGCCCAAGACCAACCTACATTTTAGCTCCCTGCAAACCCGTTTCTCCAGCAAATAACTATGGCATCCAACCGAGCAGCTAAGTCTGGTTTTGCCGCCGAGGCCCAGCGCAAAGTAAGTACAACAAAACACCCAAAAAAAAGTCCAAACAAAACAACACAATAAACAAATTGCCCCAAAAAATCCGCTTCGCATGGGTGTTCGAGTGAGTTTGGGAGCTGCATTGACTATATTTGGCGCTACGACGCCAAGTTTTTATATGCTCGCGCCAAATGCCAAAAAATTAGCCAGAAATGGTCTTGAAATTGCCAGCGTCTAACAAGGAATGACCTCATTTCGTTGATAAGTCAAACAAGTATATACATATACAGTGACAAACTTAATTATTGGCACAGCAAGCATGTTAAACTTTGAGGCTATTTTTCTTCTTATAATATGCTGATATTAAAATAAAAGAAAATATTTTTAGATAGAATCATTAATTTTATGTTAAATACAAGTGACTTCATTAATTTATCTTTTATAAATAATTTATTAAAAATAAATAACCAAAGAATGGACCAAATTTGCCTGAACAAAATTATTGGCACACTTGGGTTTTAATTAACTATTTTGTTAAAATTTTATCGATTTGGCCACTTTTTTTTTAATTATCACATTTGCCTCTATAATCTTAATGGTATAATGATAAATTTTATAGCTAAAATTGTTTTAGTGCCTTAAAATAAAGGAAAAGTTGTTTGACTTTACAAGGTAAAAATAAAATCAACCGCATGTGTCCAAAAATTAAAATTTAATAAGCAGGATCAATGCAAATCGAAAGTCAACATTGGGGAAAGGATGCCCAGAAGCCATTTTTCCCATTCGGAGTCCTTTGCTACATTTTAAAGGACCCACGCAGTTGCAAAATGCAGGGCACACTGGCTAATCCATGGCTTTGAGAGGCCAGGAAAGCGTAAGGATCGTATAAAGGACAATGTCAACCCCCAGATCTCCTCAACACGTATCGAAGTTGATGATAAGAAGGACTTTGGTAAGGATATTCACCCAACAGCCTTTTTAGGCCCTGCATGATGGTTTCTACAAACGAATTGAACATAGAAAAAATCTATAGATTTTAAAAGTCAAAAACAACCTTTTAGTGCAGCGAAATTTATATCCGAGTATGCCAATCGACTTTTGGGTCCTTTCAACCTTCTCGTATGATTTAATTATCCTTTCCCCAAGCAAAGAGCTTATGTTAGAACCCTTTTCAAGCCGATGGATTTTTTCTAGGAGCAATTCGTTTGTAGAAACCATCATGCAGGGCCTAAAAAAAGGCTGTTGGGTGAATATCCTTACCAAAGTCCTTCTTATCATCAACTTCGATACGTGTTGAGGAGATCTGGGGGTTGACATTGTCCTTTTATACGATCCTTACGCTTTCCTGGCCTCTCAAAGCCATGGATTAGCCAGTGTGCCCTGCATTTTGCAACTGCGTGGGTCCTTTAAAATGTAGCAAAGGACTCCGAATGGGAAAAATGGCTTCTGGGCATCCTTTCCCCAATGTTGACTTTCGATTTGCATTGATCCTGCTTATTAAATTTTAATTTTTGGACACATGCGGTTGATTTTATTTTTACCTTGTAAAGTCAAACAACTTTTCCTTTATTTTAAGACACTAAAACAATTTTAGCAATAAAATTAATCATTATACCATTAAGATTATAGAGGCAAATGTGATAATTAAAAAAAAATGGGCCAAATCGATAAAGTTTTAACAAAATAGTTAATTAAAACTCAAGTGTGCCAATAATTTTGTTCAGGCAAATTTGGTCCATTCTTTGGTTTTTTATTTTTAATAAATTATTTATAAAAGATAAATTAATGAAGTCACTTGTATTTAACATAAAATTAATGATTCTATCTAAAAATATTTTGTTTTATTTTAATATCAGCATATTATAAGAAGAAAAATAGCCTCAAAGTTTAACATGCTTGCTGTGCCAATAATTAAGTTTGTCACTGTATGTATAAAGATATTTACACATGTACGATGCATGCGTAATTCGAAAGCTTGAAGATGATTTAGGTGATTTTAAGGCATTGTCAGTGCGGGTGATTCAGTTCGAACTAGGGAAACACAGTTGGTTGTCTATAAATCAAACCATTGACAGTCAAAAAAATAACAAAGCTATAGAAATTTCGAGCTAACTATAAAAATGTCTTAGACATATTAAACTTAGTGGATAGATTTACATTGATTTGTTATTAGTCCAAAATAAATAATTCGGGTATGATACAATAATTTCTTCTTTTCCTAATTTAAATCTCAATAATTTGATGATGATAATTCAAAAAATTTTGAAATTATTGAAGAATTTTAAAGGTTGGAAAACCGTTTTTTTTTTGTCTGATAAATTCAAGTATTCTAATTTCCTCTTTGTAAATTGACAACATTAGTTCCGTTCATTAGCAGCACTTTGCATTGAATGCACTCATACAAATGCATTGGGTTTTTGTGGGGGGCACTAGTAGTACTCGTACCCTTCGACAATTTAGCCCTCGTCAAGTCGGGGTTACGCAATTCAAGCCGCCCCTGGGCAAGCCAGAGTGAAATTGTATATGTCGCCGGCAAAGGGGATTAAGTGCAGTCCAACAAAATCAACAACAACTATAGTTACAACATTGCCCAAACAAAAAACGAAATAAAAATGGGTGAAAAGTGGGATTACCATAGCCGAAGTTTTGCATACCCTTGATGGGTTTACCATGTTCAACTGTTTTACCACGCTGAAATATGTAGGTTTTGTTTTTCTTGTGCTTGCTTATCTGAAAGTTTGCTACCCGGATTTCATTTTCTTGAGTCAGCCATTAACCAAAAGACCTTGTTTATCGGTACTATTTTAGGCACAAGCAAGCTAAAACGACATAAATAATTGCATATTAAATATTTATAAAGTCTCAAAAGATCAGTTATATCTTAAATGCAATTATTTTCCAAACAAAAACTACTTGATTGTTGACCTAGCTATAGGTTTGTTGGGAATTTGGATAGGAAGAACCTTGGGATAGAGTATAGTACACAAAATAGGGAAAGAGGGGCGTGCTATTTCAGTTTCCGCGATGCCTGAAAGCGCAGCTGCTGGTGCGACTTCAAACCGCGATCAAATGGCTCCCCAGGAGCTAAAGGCGATGATGTCATCCCGCCAGCTGGCTCTCCTTCGTCCTCCGCAATACCTCCCCGCTCCAGCCAACCACTAGCGTCGTTAGTTTTGAGCACTTTTGCGAATGAATGCGTTGCCGGTCTCAGGGAATCGCTCATTTTTAGTGGGGGTACGGGTTTGGGTTCGGGTGTACGGGTGACAGGAGGAAGAAGCGATAGCAGCACCTTTTCCAACACATGAGCACTTAAAACTGAGTATGTGGCGTAAGCAAACAGCAAAACAAAAGTGAGGTAAAAACGTAAGAAAACAAAATTGTTGTTTGCCTCTTGGGTTCTCTACAGCCTGTGCTTGCGTGTGTGCTTTTCCCGACTTTAACGGCAGTCACCGAGAAATGGGCATGGATCTCAAATTTCGGACAAGGGATCAGTTGCCCATTTAGTTTAGTTTAGCAACCCTTCCATCGGACCGCACCACCTTAATTACGAACCCACTTTTCCAACTCAAACCACCAGCTGTCACCCATTGTTCTAGTTATAAAGGCTTCAAGTTACTCAAAGTATGTTTTCCCTTTTCAAAACAAATATTTTAGAAAAATTTTCTAAAAGTACTGTTTGGTAAAAAATTATAAGACTGGGTTTAAAAAAGTTACCAAAGACTATTTTTGCATTTTGCATAATTATGGTTTTTTACAAATTTGAAACATGAAAGTTTTGTTAATTACAGAAAATTCGACTTCGAAAAATCGGTCTGTAATTATTATCTTTTCCGAACGTCTTTATGTTCGCAGCTGTATCTCAGCCATTGGAACATTGTCCACGTACTAATCACCTAGCCGCTTTTGGAGCTAAGAATCCACACTCAATTAGCGTAAATATATAAAAGTACCGTGAACATTTGTACATCCGCAGCACGCAACGTGCCACCGCTCACTGTATCTATATAGGTATTCCCTATCAGTGCGGGCGACACGTAAATGGAACACTTGGCCCACATGAACTCCCGTACTCGTAGTCGTAGTTGTACTCCCCTCCTAGATGTTGATCGGAAAAAAACGGCCTGGAACCCCCGATGTCGAACCCCCAAAACACTTGTTGGCCGTCAGTCACCGTCATTTTTAGATAAGCCATAAAAAGTCGCGGGAGGAGGTCGACAACGGTTTTATCATAAATCAAATGTTGTTTTGGATTTCCGGTGAAACTTTCAGTACCGAAAACACCTCGACAAGTAAATGGGGTTCTCTCTCTCTTTATGTGGCACCCCCGACCGCGTCCAAAAAAGGCACTCGGATCAGGGCTTACAACTCACTCAACCTGGTCATAAACCAGACTCAAAATCATATAATTGACCTCGTTACATTTTTGCGGATTTTGTTTATGTTTACGCTGTGGCATTTTTGTCGTTTTCCCATTTATTTATCCACCCGAAAAAGATATTGGTCAGCAATTGTCATGGATCATGACACATCGCGAAAGAAAGCGAAATCGGTCGGTAGTGAATAATCACCAGATCTGGCCATTCGATGGATTGATTTTTGAGGCAGCGGTTACGTAATGGAGTGGAGTGAGTGTCTGTTTGCCTGGTGATGCGTCAACTGCCAGCGATCCCTTTCAAAACACACATTTAACTAATCATCACCATCTACGCTAAAATATTGCCAAAGTTCAAATCCAAGCCATAACGATGCCATGACATCATCGGCTTCAAAAAGCCATCAGCGAAGCAAAACGTGCCCCTGTCTCTTGTCTCTGGTATCCTACAATGGATTATTATGCAATGATCATCAGTTTGGGTTCCTCGCGTTTTGGGGTAAATTTATACAGATACTCGTCGGATGGGCGGAAACTTCCGTCAAATGTGAGCCTGGGATTTATTTGTCAGCCAGAAACGTTTTTAGAATATTTTGAACTACTTCGTCCATCCAAACTATATCTTTAAATAAAGAAATTAAAGTAAATTTATTCATATTTCTTTATGTCTTAAAAAGTGTTGAAACATTTGTTTTCTATATTTCTAAAGTGTTAAGTATTTTGCAGACATTTTCTGTTCAAAGATTTTAAAATCGATTTCTTTCGTCAGTATCCACTTTCAGAAGAACCGGAAACATTGCTCTTTGATCTTTAATTGTTTATGAACCAATCGATTCTCGGAACTCGCACTCAATTATGAAGACTGAATCATGATAAATAAATAGTTATATCGCACCAAACTTTTTCACTTTTCAAGTGGCGTAGGTGTGAATTAAATTAAGTCGACGTGGGTAGGCCCTCTCCCAAGATATTTATTATTCGAAGTTTGGGTTTCTGCTGACCCGTAGTATTTTTGTTGAGTTTTTTTGGAAAGATGAGAGGAGTATGATGGGGGAAGCTTGCTCAGCCAGTTTTCAAGTAACTAATTTTAATTTTAATTTCACTAAAAGCTAACCCAGGCTTGGCTTAGCATGTCTCGACCACTAATGCGCATTGCGTGTGGAATGCCATCCACCCAGAACGTACTTGAAAAAGAGGCCCAACCCCATAATACATTGTATATCATAAGCTTGGAAATTAATTAGGTTCTTGAGGCTACTGAGCATTTCATTGTCACGCCGTTTTGTAATCGTGCTTAATTCATCAAATGACCCACAGAAAAAAATAAAATTTGGTCAGTAAAAACATAAGGAAACCGTTAAACAGACGTCATTTTTAAAGGCAAACTATGAGCAATTTTAAAGTTCCGCTTCTAATTATTAGTGCTCATGTTTTTGTGTTCCTATCAAGTGGCAGCTTTCGAATGGAATTCCATACTCTCGATAAGGCAGTACGTTCTAACCAGCTGTACATATGTTATTTTTATAAAAAAAAGTATATGTGGATGGGTGTACGAAAACATTATGTACTCCATTACTGCTGTACTTGCGCCCCGGCATTCGATCGTCGTTGAATTTCGCGTCGACCTTATATCGCTAAACTAAACAAAAAATACAAATGAAACTCGCTGGTTTGCTGACTCATTAAAACAGCGCTAAAAATATTATAATAAGCGGGTCGAAGATGGAGCTTCGAAGAAACGGCAATAACTTCGCTATTCTCCACCATTTTTCATTTAGTTCCGAACATTGTTTGTCTGCGGAGACCACCAACTGTCAAATTTGTTTTGGATTTTGTTTGGGGAGATTTGGGTTCGAAGAACGTGTAAGAAACGATCGGAATTCATTAGGCTCTTAACGGCTTTTGGTTTACGATTATGTATGAGAATAGTATGCATAAACTGGCCGCAGAATCCCATAAGCATATTTATTTCTAATCAAAATTTATTCATCTGCCCCGAGGGTGTCAATTTATCTGCCATCATCAGGGGCTCTAAGTTATGGTCATCAACTTCTGGCTGCGGATCCCAGATTCTCGAACAGAATGTCAATCAAAATTGCTTTTATTAATTGTCTCACGCTTCGCGACGGTTTTCTCCCCGGCTTCGATGATGGATGATGCTGTTATTTGGTTCCATTCTTTTCTCTTTTTGGGCTCTAATGAACTGACCTCGACTGTTAAATGGTGGACCGTTATGCCCGAAAATTCGGACAAAGCAATTTGGCCAACCGTAGATTGCAATTATTGATAATCTTCAGTTTTTGCCAGCCAAAAACCTCTGTGATAAAGCCATTTCCAAATTCTGCGCTTCTATTCTGCATATCTCGATGAGAGATCGATGGTTTTTATTGAGCTCGAACAACGAAAAGGTCGTAAATTTTTATGTTTCGATAATCCTCGACTACCGCTGATGGAGAGCGAGAGTTGAACTTAGATGGAGTGGGATAATATAGTGTGTGCAAAGTGCAATCACCTTCATTAAGTACACACAAGTATGGGGAAGGCTTCTGGTCTGTATTTCACTTTTTTACTGCACCGCTCACTCCTCCTCCCTTTCAGACCCCTTCAATTTACGAGTTTGCATTTCCCCACGGCGGCGATAAGGAGTGGAATACAACTCAATTGGCGACAATCGTTCCATTTGTTTTTTCTGAGATCATTCGTTTTAATAGACTTGCCAGTCAGAACAAAAATCACACAAATACTAAAAAAATAATACAATTGGGGGAAAAATATTAAAGCCGTTGGCTGATTATTGTAAGGAAAACTACGTCAGTTGTTTTATTAAAGAATATTCCATTAATAGATCATGACAATTGACTATAAATTTTGAAAAATAAAAGGCACACAGATATGAAGAACAACAATAATAAAAGCTAGATAACTTTATTTATCAGTGATCAAATTTTACTTTCGCTAGCAGAAGGTATTTTGGCTTAAACCTCAACTTCTATAATTTTAACCCCAATTGTGTATAGTACTTGAAATTTCTGATAAAATGACAGCTAATCTAAAATCTGTTAGCGACAGCAATTCAATTCAATCAAATAAAACTAATAAATACGTGTTAAGTGAGTCGCTGCGATATGACCCAAAGTTTGCTAAACATTTTGATTCTGATTTTTATTGGCAAGCCAAATGGAAACCCAACACGCAACGATTTTGCGGTTTGTTTTGGGACTCCGGCTTTTGTGGTTTTGTGCCAACCGAGTGGAAATGGCAATAGAAGTGGGGGCCAGCTGCTCAACAAGTGGCTTTTGGTCTATGGCCAAAATCGGTGCGAAGGACGCCCAAGCGGCCGGCAAACTTAAGGCCAAATATGGTCAAGACGCTCAGATATAAAGCAGCCTCCCAGTCGAAGCTATCGGCATTGGCAAATATGGATACTTACTATTCTACATGAGAACATACGAACGTGACTGACTTTTATAATTTAAGCAAATCGAATAATGGGGAGTGGCGGTGAGAGAGAAATGACTCCGAACCCGACCCGCAATCTTATCCTTATCGAAACTTGAAATATAACCGCCCAATTGTCACGAGTGCGGTACAAGGGAAATGGTGGAGAGAGAGAAATGTGTGTTTATAACCAATTAATGATAAGTCTGCTATCAGCGATATTTCATGAGATAAGCGAAGGGAAATGGCCCACAAATAAAATAATGGTCTGTACTTGATTTAACCCCCGATTGGGGCTTCAGTCTAGCAAGTGCAGCAGCCAGAGAGAGATTAGCCGAAAATGTACCAGTCCAAGGTTGTTTTGACTATATTACAAAATACAGACAGATTTGAACTAACCCCTAACCATTTTCCTATTTTTCAGATCAACTCAAAGTACAGCGAGGAGCTGGCCCAGGAATCCTTGGAGTGGATCAAGGCCGTCACCGCGGAGCCCATCAACACATCCGGCGACACCGACAACTTCTTCGAGGTGCTCAAGGATGGCGTTATCCTGTGCAAACTGGCCAATGCCCTCCAGCCCGGCGTCATCAAGAAGATCAACGAGAGCAAGATGGCCTTCAAGTGCATGGAGAACATCTCGGCCTTCCTCGCGTGCGCCAAGAACTTCGGAGTGCCCACCCAGGAGACCTTCCAGAGCGTTGACCTGTGGGAGCGCCAGAATCTGAACTCGGTGGTTATCTGCCTGCAGTCGCTGGGTCGTAAGGTGAGCTGATAACTCCTGCTTACACGAAATGTTGGGATTGAGTTTGCGTTATATAAGTAAAGTGTGGATTTTGTTTTCTTAAACGATGAAATAATGCAAAGAAGATAAAAAAAGAAAATTTATATTTTTTTAACAATATCAATATGGTATTGATTACTTCATAGTTCAAGAAAATAGCAGTATTATCGTTCTTTTTATCAATAATAACACATTTTATTACCCTCAACAAATTATAGAAATTTGAATAATAGTAGTTATAAAATTATCGCTTCTGAAATGTTATTAAAAAGTAAGGCTAAAAATATCACATTTTATTAGTCTTCCAAAAGGTGTACCCTTGTATAAGTTTCTTTTTATAATGATTACTATTTTAAAAGATAAGTAAATAAGTAATCAATACAAAAGTAGTTATTTATTTATGACTTTCCCGTTTCGTGCCTTATCCAATGGTGTAATATTATTTAAAATATATATATGAAAAGATATTAATATATTTCAACCCTTTGCAGGCCTCCAACTTCAACAAGCCATCGATTGGCCCCAAGGAGGCCGACAAGAACGTGCGCAACTTCAGCGATGAGCAGCTGCGCGCCGGCGCCAATGTCATCTCCCTGCAGTACGGATCGAACAAGGGTGCCACCCAGTCCGGAATCAACTTCGGCAACACCAGGCACATGTAGATCCGCGTCCTAGATACAGGATCCTCCGCCCATCCTCCGCTCTCAGACATTCCGCAATAAAAGACCAAACCAAAACGCCAACATCTACCGCAGCCGCTTTTGGGTTCCACACTTTTCACGTTTTGAGCTTAATTTGGGAAGAGCCCCGAAATTATATGATACGGATATATATTTATGATACCAATTTGTATTTGTATTCCAATTGACCAGGCGTATGCTGTTATGTAATAACATAAATTACTTTAATTTAATATTATTAAGTACTCGTACATACGGATCTTAGGATGATTTATTCTATTTTCAACATTTGCATTTGCGACACGATCGTTTTGAATAGTTTTGTTCTATATAAACCGCACTCAGATTCTGTGCCATCGAAGACAGTTGGAAATTGTCCCAATGCAAAGTGAGATAATAAGTGATCAATGGATCGAAAACAAAATGAATTGTGTTTAATGAAAGTGTCTTCTATCTAGTAGAGTAACGATTACAATGTTGTTTCGAACTAACCACCTGAATATCAATCAAAAACGCAGAGCATTTAAAATAATGTATTTACAGACAGAGAATATATATGTATTACACACTTTTGAATGATCTATTTTAAATAATGTCCCCTGTTGAAAATAAATAATTATTCTATTAACATATTTTGTCGTTTGTATGATTTGTCGAATGGTTATCTGGTTAACTCTGTTTAACTTGAAATGAGACTGGCTAATGGGGATTTTAATTAGTTTTTGTTATTTTCGAAATAGTAGTATAAAATATTAAAATTCGAAATTAAGATTCAGCTCATCCAACTTTCGTATAAGTGTTCATTAATATGAAGAAATTTAATTGCGATTATATTTTTAAAAGCCGATTAAAAAGTGTGCTGTGTTTTGTCATATCGGTTTTATTAACGAAGTTATGAGCTTGATCCCCCTTAGCTACACCCATGAATAAGTATAATTTAAAGTTTTTTTGGTATATTTTCATTTATTTCTTGAGTATATTTCTAGCCTACCCATTTGGCGCCAAATTCAAAAGATAACTTTGTTTTGTAACAATTACATATATATTTTATTTGATTTCAAAACAAATTAATTTTTGCATGCGTTGACATCTATGACCTTCCGCGGCCTCATTTCGAGCGATTCGATTTCGCGTGTAAATAAAATTTCGGGGCATTTAAAAATACGCAGACATCGAATAACAATTATAAAATAATTTTATACGATCGCTTATATAAAATAGAACATATTGTACAGTCGTTGACAATGTGTGTTTGCATTCGTGCATTCACCTAGGAGTATTTTGATAAGGATTCGAGACATCGTTAGCTAATTATAGACGAATATTCAGCAATTAAAACTAAAGCAATTATATTCGAGTCGGTAATACATGGTTGTTGTTTTGGGAGTTTAGCCTGCATTTGTGGACTGTAGTAGAAGTTCGGCGGCCACCTCTAAGCTCCAGTTGGTCTGATGCAGGGCCTGTTCGCACTGGGGTCGCCCAGCCACGCCCAATCTCGCCAGCTGGTCGATCTTGTAGTGCCTCGTGGCCAGAGCCACATCCCCGCTGGCCGCTCGCAACGCATTGCGCACGTCCTGCTCCACCGCGGAGCTGCCCAGATCCTGCATCAGCTGCTGGAGCTTCTCCTGCTCGCGTCCGAAATCCGAGGGCACCGGAGCATACAGCTGATGGGCTCCCTCTAGCTGCTGCTGTTGCTGCACCCGCATCTTCTCCATCCGCCGTTGAATCTGCTGAGCTGAGAGGGGAGGTGGCGCCAGTGGAGCAGGTCGCGTTGGCCGCAGGTAATCATCCTGGGTCACCTCATCGTACAGTACAGCTCCACTGCCATTCGGCACTTGGCCGTAGTAAGTCGATACCGCCGTGCTGGGTGCCACTGCATCGTACGCATTGGTTCTGGGAGCCACTACCCGATTGGAAATAGCCACAAACGAGTGGTTTGACTCCTGCTGCTGCTGATGATGATTCTGATAGATCTGCTCTTCCGGCTGCTCCGACGGCGGCTGGGCATAGTACTCGGATGACGTGGAGGCCACCTGCTCGTACCAAATGCGATTCACCACGCTCTGAGTTGTAGCTGCCGCAGCTGCTGCTGCCTCCAAATTGTTCTGCTTGGGTGAGGCCGTCGACGAGGGACTGGAATGATTCGAGTGGCCTGAACCGGCGGCTATTCCGTTTTTGAGGGGCGTGAGATTCTGTTTGTACACCATGTCCTTGCTGGCATACATCTGAGTCGAGTTGCGCTGGTACTCCTCCTGCGCCCGGTTCTGCCCATTGCTGTACATGTCCTTCTCTAATTCGGCAATGAAGGATTTGTCCAGAAGCACTCCATCTGCGGGAGGAACTGGAACAGGCTCCAGCGGCTGGCTGCTGATGGTGGTAATTGTGTCGTGTCGTTCCAGCGCCAGATTACTTAGGTTTAGCTGCATTGCCGCTGATTCCAGGGCAGGTATGTTCTCCTTGTTGGAGCCACCAAAAAGAGTCTTTCTGACCGAGGGACTGCTGTAGATGGGTGCTGGTGGAGGAGCTGCCTCTATAGATTGGTTAAAATTCGAGTACAGTGCGACGGCAGTCTCCAGATTCGTAGTGTCGAAGGGATCTCGCTCCCTTACAGGCGTTGTTAGCTGCTGTTGGTTAAGGTCTCGTTTCTGGACAAACTCCATGGTATTCGAGTAAGTGGGTGGCATCTGGTAGGGCGGCGGTTGCAAACGCCCAGGAGATGCTGTAATGTTGGCCGAATCAAAGTCGAATTGCGGCTGCTCGTTGAAGTATGTGGGGGAAACGTTAAGCTCTCCCGATCCACTGGACTCGGCATAAGTGGGCACATCTATGGGGGCGTCCAGTAAGCAAAAGGAACTTTCCGCCTGTAGAGATGTACTATCGCCTGCGCCATCAGCTCCCGCTGCGCCACCTCCGCCCAAAGGACGCATGTCAGGCGAAATGTCGATTAGGATGCCCTCCTGCTGGAACTGTGGCGGTGGAGGACGCTGTGGACCTACTATGGCTCCTTTGTGCTTCACCGCATTGCGTCGCTGGAGCCCCGCCGCCGCTGCCGCCTCATTTACCAGCTTGTTGTAGGCGAACTGCTTACTGGATGTCGACTTACGCTCCTTAGCGTGGGTTTGATTCGCCACCGAGGCGCACTTCCGCTGCCGATCTTCGCCGTTGGCCATGGCAGCCGCACCACCCCAACAGAACCCAAAAGGCGAAGACGACGAGGAACCATTGCCCATGCTATTCCGCATCACCACATCTCCAACAGCAGCCACTTTCCGCTGTTCCAACAGATTCCTGGGAAAGATTCCTATATCGAAAGTGCGCTGATTCTGCCCCTTGATCAACTTCAGCTCGTGGCGTCCATCGATTATCGCAATGGTGTCGCCAGGCTCTATCTGAAGTCCTTTGGACTCGTGGTGGCTGCGGGAGGCACGCATCACAGGCGGTGACATACTGGCCAGATATTCCCTGTAAGGAAGTAGAGGGATTAGAAAGAAATAAATTAATATTTTAAGCTTAAAACCTACTTGAGAGCAGCGAACGTGGGTCGCTCTGCTGGCGTTTTATCCCAGCACTGGAGCATCATGGCGTAGACGTCCGGTGGACAGGCGTCCGGCTGATGCAGTCGCTCTCCCTCGCGATCGATTTTTCGCAGGATCTGTGAGCCGTTAAGCCCCACCCAAGGATCCTCGCCGAAGCTGAACATCTCCCACAGCGTCACGCCAAACATCCAGGTGTCCGAGGCGTGCGAAAACTGCCGGAAACGTAGCGATTCCGGAGCGCACCATGGAAAAGGAACCTTCTTGTGTTCGGACATCACATAGCAATCATCCTCCTGCGGCAAAGCGCGCATCAGGCCAAAGTCTCCGATCTTGATCTTGTTCCCAGCGGCAAGCAGAACGTTACGACATGCCAGATCACGATGCAGGAAACGCTTCTGCTCCAGATAGGCCATCCCAGTCACAATCTGCACCGACCAGTTCCAGATGATGGTCAACGAGGTGTGTCGGCACTGTTTGCGCAGCGTGTCCAGCAGGGATCCTCGTTCCGCCAGCTCTGTGATCATCATCATTGGCTGGGATAGCACCACGCCGTACAGACGCACCAGATTCGCATGGTCCAGAGCATGCATGGCCTGAACTTCTCGGAAAAAGTCATCGATGATGCCCGGCTGGGTGAGGTTGTCTGACTTAAGCACCTTGACGGCCACGGGGATGACCTTGCCCGCAGGCGAGGCACTCCATTCGCCACGTCGCACCACGCCGAAGGATCCGTCGCCCAACTTTAAACCCATGGTGATGTCCTTTTCGTGGATGAGGCAGGTTAGCTGGGTGCCGTTGCCCTGATTGGATTCCCGGGTGGAGGACTGCTTCTTGGAAGATGGTTGCTTGCCACCGCCAATCAGCTTGGACAGGATGTTCTTGCGCCACTGGTGGGCTTTCTTTTTGCGCACCGCCTCCATCAGCCTCCGAACAGCTGGCTTGCCCAGGCCACATCGCTCCAGATCATCGGGCAGCACATAGTCGAAGTGGGCCAGTCGGGTCACCTGCAGATCGTCGCGTATCCTGTCCAGGAACTGCTCCAGCTGCACCTCGCGCAGCAGATCCTCCAGCCAGGCCGTCTCGCTGCTGAGACCGCCATCCGCCGCGGAAGTGGAGGACATTTCCTGGAAGAGCACAGAACAAAAACCCAATCAGTTGAAGGCAATCTCAAAAACGTGGTGATCGGTGAATGAACTGTGGTCAAGGGTACTCGGTCAGGCGCGCGATCACGTAATCACCGCGTTAAGCCCCCATAAGGGGCAGCGAAAGTGTGCCACATTTATGGGCACCACAAGCAATTCCAAATGTTGCGATTCATAAAAGGTGACGCAAAAATTCACTGATTTCTGACGCCATATAGCATTTAGAAACTATGGTTTTAATCTATATTGAATAAATATTGATACAAAATGCCTTTTTATTTAATCAGGTCAATCTGATGCAATATAATCGAATACATTTTTTAGACCTTTGATATACAAACTTTAATAAATATTTCTGGCTTAAACCAAACATTACATCTATCAGAAATCTATTAAACTTTAGATTATGTTTGAATACCAACCAGAGATTACAAATCAATAAGCAAAACAGAGTTTGTGGAAGCTAATGATTTGCAAACGAATTGCATGTATCCCAAGGGAGATCTTTAAAGGTTTCTGGGGAAATCTGTAAAAATGTTTGTTGATTGATCAACCTATTGTAAACAAACATTGAACTGCCAAACTTTTGAATGATGGGCTCATATCTTAATATTTCATTAAATGAAACAGATGTTAGCATATACTAAACCAATATCGCAGATAAGTCCTCCCCAAATTTTTAAATTGTTTTGACATTTGCTTTAAAATTTTCTTACTTAAGTTATTACCAACTTAGCAGATTTTTAAAATACATCATGGAAGAGTGTTATTGCTAAAAAAGGAAACAATTATAAAGTCATTATTCAGTATAAAGTCGAAGTCAGTATTCAATTATAATGATTAACTATTATTGACAATCTCCACCAGAGTAAATTTCTTTAGAAACAGAGACGACGATTGATTCCCAAAGGGCACCGGAAGTAAGCAGATTAGAGGCGAAACTATTTATTGAATTCTATGAATTCCGTCAGAGCACGATACTTGTTGAATTTACAAGTATACTGCTGTTTCCAAGAGGCCAATGTACACAAAAGTGGATTTGTATAAATATGTCCCCACATGACGTCACGTTTTCTTGGCAATCCACGTAAACGCGTTGCGTCACCTTGTGAACCCCCACTATAAAAATCAGATAGGGGAATTAAGGGGATCTCAGAAAGCAGCTTGAACTCTGGCGCGTGCCAAAGTGGAGTTTATTTATAGAGTGCGATAGAAGGTGAGCAGATGGAGACTCGGGGCGAAACCGATATGCATGACGATAGGATTCCTGGATGATAATGTATATTGTTAACAAGCGAATAACAGAAATTACACTTTGCAGCGACAGTTTGACTAATTATTCGGGCGGAAACTGGAATTTAGCGGATGCGAGAAGCAGGCAGAGATGGCAAAATGAGACAACTACGCCCAGTTGAGAGCAGGTTATCAGCTGTGTAATTAGATACAGTCGAACGTCCATAACTTACCATCTGTCGTTAAAAAGATATTTGAAAAATGGTGACTCTGAGGTACAGAAATAACCCAGGTACAAACACTTTTCTGTTGAATTGTATATTGCGATTTCAACACAGTCAAACATCCTTAACTCAAACAAAACAGAGTGGCAACAGCGTTAACCGATTTAATTTTATAATATTTTTTCATTTTAACTTTTACCACTGTTTATGATCAAAATATGAGAAAATGGAATTGGTAGCATCAAAGATTTTCTAAAACCTTTAAAGGTTATGAATTTTAAACAATCAAGTTTTAATTAGTCCATAGATTGAAGTTCTAGTTCCTCAGATGGAATTCGAAAGAGTGTCGATACGATAATTTTTTAATTTTAACAAAACAAAGTTAGTTTTTGTATCCTAAAAATTTATTTACATTAGTTATATTTACATTAGTAACATTTAAAGATCAACAAATTTACAGAACATTTGTATGTGAGAGGAATAAAGTTATTTGAAATATTTGTATATCAAAAGACATGTCTCAATTTTCAATGCAAATAGTTAAGAAAGGTTTGTTTATGGGGGATTTCACTGTATGACAACTATCCCACCCTGAAATCAATGAGAGTATGTGCTTTTCAACATTTGTTTTATTACCCTGGGGTGTTTGAAAGGGTTTTACTTTAAAATGCACAAATACTCACCAGATATTAAGAGGTGATTGTTCCGTTTACAACTTTACAGCTGCTGCTGCTGCGACGCTGGCAGCGCTGCTCCCGTCGCCGTCGCTGCACTTGGATGAACCTGCCGACTTGGATACTTCCTGTCTGGATGCGAACAGGTTGGCCAGACAAAAGATGAGGCTTCAGAGGCAGATGGAAGTGGATATGGAGATTTCGTGGCTTAAAGATGTGAAATTCGATATGCGAGGGCCAGTTGTTTGCATGCGTGTGTGTGTGTGAGTGCGCTTTGTTTACACTCGCCAAATGAGCAGCTGTCTGTTTGGCTGCTGAATTCGCTGGCGAGAGGTAAGCGGTCCCCTCATGACGCAGCCACTTTAATATTAATTTATAGTGCACACACAAAAACAATGAATTTATTCGCTTTCAACAACGGCTAACCCCCTCCGCCCCCGCCCCCACTGTCGTCACAGGTTTTTGCACAATTTAACACACACACACGCATTCGCTGCACGGCCGTGTGTGTGTGTGCGTGTGAGCGAATTGAAATGCACGAAAAAACAGCAACGCAAATCCCAGGTGCCACAAAATCCGAATACAACGCAATTCTTGTTGCACAGATTAACTTAATTGGTTGATTCGTTAACTTATTTATACGTTTACTTCGTTATTCGCGAAAGGGGGCGTTTAAACCGAATAAACAGCGTTTAATTTGCGATTGAAAATGCGCGACAGCGAGCAATACAGCTGGTTGAGGAGCAGAAACATCGATTACCAACATCGGTGTCATCGATGTTTCGTAAATTCGTTTACATCGATGTTTGGTTCGGCATAAGCAACGTTTTTCCATCTCTTACAATTTTCGAAAATATCACTCCAGTTCTTACGCACTGTTAACAACTTAACACCATTTCTTGCCCACCCTGTATAAATGACCCATTAAACAGATTGAAAAAAATTCAAATGTTTATTTAGATTCGTCTACAGTTGGAAAAATTTAATGCATATTCGATACAGTCATTGTTACTATAATTCGACAATCGGTATTTTTAAATTCGGTATTTTATTTTTCCACAGATGCAGTATATCCGCAGTGCGACCGGTTAAATATACCATTAAATACGTCTTTTAAATATGCCGCAGTTTTTGAAGATGCGTTACGTTGCGCGCGCTTCTAACGGATTTTTTTGACGTTACGTGCTTTAAAGAATTTGTTTGTGTATCAAAATTTAAATATTAGCAATAATAAAAAGAATTTGATTTAGTGGCTTTTAAAATAAGAATCAAAGATTGCTTATGATTAAACGAAACTAAAACCAAAACTGAATTTAGTTTTTCTAAAGGCAATTAAATAACAATTTTTTTAAAAAGAGAAAGTCAGATATTATTCATTAGGCGATTATCTTAAATATAGAAAAACTTTATTCATCCTTATTTCTATTTAAGGCAAAGTTTAAAAACAACTTTCTTCCTATCAACGGTGATGATTCAAAAGTAAGCATTTTTAAAATTGTTATAATTAGCTTTTCATTTGTAATGCAATCCATTTAAGAATAAGTATTACACAAATCCTATTTGCATTAATCACTTTCTATTTAAGGTGCATTTTTCTTCCATAAGAGTCATAATGTAAATATATACATTTGTAAGAAATGTGCTACTTTTTATTTACTCTTTTATTTACCCAGTATGAGTTGTTCCTGTTTGTTACTTCTCTTTGTTGAATAAACGAAAATAAACAATAAAGTTAAGCGAAAAGTAAAAAATATACGATTGCTAATTATCTCAAAAATGTTATGTTGCATGTCTAAATACTTTCAAAATAGTTGTGATAACACAATTAAAAAACAAGTCTTCTAAATAAAAATATGTGGCTGATTATTTATTTGTCATTCCTTATTCATTTTTTGGAATGTTTCAGTTCTTAAGAATCACAGTCACCCTTACATAAATTAAATTCAATTAAATTGAAGATTTCGCAAAGGATTGCGTGAGAAGTTGCCCCATTTAGAGGCACATAACTCCACGACGCGGTCATCAATCAACGTAGCTCCCTATAATCTCAAATCCCCATGCAACGACGAATGAGTCGTGGTGCTTATCAATTCAATTGAGTGCGTCGTTATTAATAACAATACCCGTGCTTTATATTAAACGCCCGACTCTTGCAACAACGCCCCTCTGGAGGCCCATAACCTCCATAAAACTGGATGAGTAATCCCCTAGGGCGCTCGGGTTACCAGCTGCCATTGGAATGCAAGCAAACAAACCACCGTTTACGATCATTAAAAACATATAAAATAATTTATTCTGCTTATTAATTTGTTTAATAAATATACAATATGTAAAACTGCGGGTTAGTCGCGCAAGTCCGAAAAAGTGGTAAAAAAAGGACTTAAGTAGTGTAAACTTTAACGCTGTGTTAGAAAACAGACAACACAGAGAACACAGGACATTGACTTGGACTTGTTTTGGGTTAAGATTGCTCTCGCGAAGGCACAACATCGTTATCATAATCGTTATCAGCGTGGTGATTGTTATTAGTCTAGAATTCCACTTCCATCAACACTTATACACACAACGCTATCGATTAGGGTGGTTCGACTGACTGGGTTGATAAAAAATGGAGGTAATCATTGGACAATTTCAAGCTACTTCCGATTTTAAATCAAGTTAAGCATTGCCCTAGATTTATACAACACAAATTCTAATACTTGGATCTATTCCAAGTCTATCTTATATTTTGAATAGCTGTTCTGGCCGTCATAAAATTAATTATTCTTTAAATAAATGCGGACAGTAAGAACACAAACATAGTTTTAAAAGTAGTTATAAATTTCGGTTACTTTTGAAAACCAGAACAGAAAAATGACCTTGTTAATTGTTGACATTGCGGAAGTTTTAACTGGTGTTAGGACAAGTTGCTTAGCATTGTCCGCTGATTACTTTTCAACCCATAACTCAACGCACCCTACTTTAGGTAAATATAGATAAAACTGTAGAACATGCGACGAGGTTTGTGCTTGGCACTCGTAAGACTCCACTCCATTCCTCCATATTCCGCTAATCCGCTTACGACCAGCCGCCCGTCAGCTTGTGGAACAGCTCCTCGTTCAGCGTCTGGTTGTTCTCCTTGGAGCGCATGGACATGAATATGTAGCCGCCGATGAACTCGTGCACCACCTTGCAGTCCGCCGACTGAACGGAGAAGATGATGTTCTCTCCCTCCAACTGGATCATCATGCACTTGATGCCCCAGTTGACGTTCCAGGCCTTCATTGTGTTGTAGCGCCAGGTCTTGATGTGATCGCCGGAGCTGAGGTCCATGCGCATGATGCGGTTGTTGGTCACGCCCAACAGTTCCTCCTTCTTGTGGCCGTCGAACTTGATGACGAAGAGAGTGACGCCGAAGTCGGGCAGGGATTGCCAGGCCTGGATGTACTTCATCTTGGCCTCCATCAATGGTAGCTGGCGAACGTTGGCGTGCGCCTCTAGGATCCGCTGCACTGCCTTGCTGGATAGTTTGCGCATCATCTTGGGGGAAAGGTAATCCATGGGCTCGACACTCCTGGGATTTACGGTGGGCTGAGCTCCCTGGACGGGTTTTTGAATCTGGAGCAGCGAGCGAATGCTGCTCACTTCGCTGTCGTACGAGCTATCGGCTAGGGAGCGACCCTTTGCGGCCAGGCGACAGGCGGCCATCCACTTGGCGTACTGCTCCTCGTTCTCGCACCTCACCCAGACCTCGCTGTTCGGGCCATTCCTGCCCTCTGGCGGAACTTCCAATCGGATGGCAAACTTTCCCTGCGATAGATTAACATCTGGAGTCACCTCGCAGCCCTTCAAATTGATGCTTATGCTGGGAGCTCCCCGCCGGGACTCCTCCTGCGATTTGTACAGGTGCAGATGCAGATCCCTGTAGGTGAAGAAGTAGCGCTTGTATCCCTTGAGGGTGAACCTCTGGGGCTTCAGGAACTTCAGATAGTCCGATAGTTCTGGTATCCTGGTAATGTTGCCCTGATCTTTGCCACCTCCCGGACCTTCCAGGGTGATCTGCAAATCGTTGAGAGCCGAGTCGATGTCGTCCTCGCCGCCAGTCTCCTGACTGGAAGTATCTATTCCAGAATCGATGCCTGGTGGATGCAAATCCGTCTGATGATTCACCTGGAACTGCAGGGCAGCGAACATGAGGGTCTCCTCTTCGGTGGCATCCAGTTCCTCGTTCAAGATGCTCCATTTGGCCTGCTCGTACAGCTGATTGATTCTCACTTGGTCGTTCTTGGGGTTCAGATCGAAGAAGGTGAAGTATTTGAACCGCAGGCAGAGCGTATCGTACTCCCTAACGCCTTGCTCCATGATGGAAAGCGATGAGTCCAACCATCCCACGTTCAGACGCGCTTTTTCCACTCGAGATTTGGGTCGAATCAAGCGAGCTCTTACATCCGGACTGGGTGACCTGGGCGACATGGCCAGATTCTCCTGGAGGTCCCCGAAACTAGAGTTGGAATCGTAGCTGGCATAGCCCGTGGAGTTGTGCTTCCAGGTGCCGGTGGGCGAGCTGATGGGCGTGCCCGGGGCAGTGGCTGCCCTCCGGGGAGTGGTGGCATAGGGTGAGGCCGGAGCACACAGCAGATTGCCATTGTGCGAGCGATCCAGACTACCATTGCTGCCGTTGTAGGCTCCTGTGATCGGGACAAAGGAGTTCGTGTCCGCCGCTGGTTGCAAATAGGTACCCTTGGCCTCCGGCACGGGAATCTTGCCTTGCGGCAACTTGGAGAAGTTCTTCTTGAGATGCTCCGGTTCCAGGGGTTTGCAAAGTGAAAGTTCCTCTGGGTGGCGTATGTCCAGATCCTTGCAGAGGTTTACAACGGCTTTAAAAGTTTTGTCCGAGAAACTGACTCTGTAGTCCAGATAGCGAAGATCGGGCATCTGCACTCTCAGTGTTTTGTGCATGGGTGTGAAGTGCAGAAAGGAGTCCGACTGGACGCCAGCCTGGTCCAGAGTAGACCGTGTCCTGGCCAGCCAGACGTTCTTGGCGGGCCACCATAAAGCATGATCAGACCAATCCTTGGGCATCTCCGGATCCACCAGTTGCAGCATTACGCCTCCTATATGCTGATCTCCTTTCACCCGCAGAGTCTTTTCCACCTGCAGATCCGTGATGAGGATCCGCAGGTTCCACGTATTCTCGCCCACATGAATCATCTCGCAAAAACGTTCGGATGCGCGGGCGTCTGTTATGTCCAAAGGCGAAACTGTAACTGCGGGTATATCTGTGTATATATAAGGCACAATCAGAGTCTAAAATTGCCCTCGAACGATGACGTAATCCAACTTACGTTCAGCGCCGTTTTTGCAACCAAGTTTTCTCGGATTCGGAGCTTCCGGAGGGGGTGGCGAAGGAGAGGGGGCTGCGAGGGGGCGGTCTAATGTAGGCCCTTATCTCGCCAGATGTTTGCACGGAAACAGAAACGCCAGCGGAACCACAAAACAGGCGCAACCGTCCAAGTAATCCAGATCGAATGAGGGGGGAAATCGGAGGAGGGATCACTTGATTAATACACGCCCAAGGTTATGATTTTAATGGGTTGCTTGGGATATGCTGGCTATGCGATGACGAGATGTTTTGTTTTTCGATCTCTCGCAATTCGCAGCGTCGCTTTTCCTCGCACGTCAACACACCGACCAACACTAGTGCACGCGCTCAAAAATGCGATGCAAATTTTCACAAAACAACACGTCGCAGGCGACGAAACAAAGCGAGAAACAAGATAGAGAGAAATTAATTTATAAATAAATCAGCACGAACGTGTCCAGTGTTACCATAGCGTGGTATTTTAGATCAGGCCAAAGTGTACTAAAAATGTATATACCAGAAATTATTTTCAAGTAACGGTATGTTTGCGTACTAAAATATAATTTGAATCTGTAAAATTCAAATTATACTAATTGTTAATAATAAATAAATTATATGTAGGTTTACTAAGAGCCTTTTGATATTAACACAACCGTTTATAATCCCATGTGGATGTGTTAAAAAGTTTGTATTTTATACTCAGAAAAATGTGCAACATTTAACTATTCGTTTTCAATTTAATAACTTTATTAAACTAATACAAGAACTTATTCTTTCGATTTTTGAAGTGCCTCCTTTTCTTATAGATTATAAATGTAATAGCCACTAGTTGAATATTTTTAAATATACGTACCTAAAATTAACAGTACTAAATACCAAAAGTGCTTCAAGGGCTCTCTTTTTCTTCTGGTAAGGTCACACTTGTGGCAAGTGCCATCTGTAAAATCGTAAAAGTTACTATTCTGTTTTTTTAAATAATTATGCAACTAATAACTGAGATTGTTAGTTAAGAAATTTAATTAAAATTAGTGAATATTGTAGTTAATAACTCTATAATGACAAACACACACACCTTCACAAAAAAAAACTGGTTGACCACCCACGCTCTCTTTCGCTCTCTCCTCTCTTCTTCTTCACACCGCATTCGTAAACAAAGACAATGAAAGCTCCAGTGGTACGGCTGAAAGGCCCCAAAGCCCCCAGATTGTTTCTCGCCGTCGAGCCGAGCGCACGTACTCTCGAAAAAATAACACTAGTAATAGTATATAATAGTGCAGTATTGTGTAAAACACGCGCGTCTCTGCTGTCTCGCTCTGACTCACACCCATACTCTCTCGCGTGCCCACACATATATACCTGTAAGAGAGCGAGATACGAAAAAAGGTGCATGGAAAATCGGAAAATCGGAACTGAAAAAGTCTGAATTTCTTTTAAACTTAGTTAGCTTTACATTCGGCTGTCAGTTTGAAATGGAAAGTGTCGGCAAAAAGTGTTTAGTTACATTAAACGTGTAACAAACAAACCGATTAACACACCCACAAATACGCGAAATCGGCAAAACGGAAACATCTGGGCGCGCGAAAAAATCGATCCAGACGATGTGAAATTGGCCAAAATTTCTCGTACCTCCCAGTGCAAGCAACAATTTTTGGCAAAAACAACAAGACAGCGAGCATGAAATAGAGATACAGATAGAGATAGTGGTAGTAAAGCGGCCAGTTACGTTGATATAGTAAAAATAAAAACAAAAGCGCGGCGCAACAACCCGAGATTAGTCATCCGTGCAAGAGATTCGCTTTACGAGATACAAGATACAAAATACCATATACCAGATACAATAGGAAAACTGCAATATTGGAGATCCAACCTTAAGCGGTTAAAAACCCTTTTACAAAAATAAACTTGGAAAAGGGCTGCAACTAAAAGATACAATATACAAAAAACTGCTATCTTCAATCTTGAAGATCCAACTTCAAGCGGTTGATAAACCCGAACCCAAAGGAACTCGGAAACTTGGAGGCCTACGTAATTACAAAAAAATTGCAGCAGCAACAAGGCAACGCCTACGACACGCCAGTGATTACAGCAACAACAATAGCAACAACATTATTTACCTATCCAGCGTAACCCGTTGTTGTAGTTATTGTTGTATTGCATTGCTGCTCACCTCTCGCCATCTAAAATTGGGCATTCACAAGCGGCTTAAATACGTGGTTAACCATCAACCATCAACCATCGGCGGCATACTATACATATAGCCGGAATCTGCAAGTGGCACACCTGTGGCCACGGGTCAGTTGAACACCAGTTGGACGACCAGTTGGAGCAACAGCATCACCATCGCAACCGCCATCGCAATTACAATCACAGACAATGTCGAGACTCACCGAGGAAATGGTGATTGCGCGGGCCAAGCAATCCGATCTGTCCCTGATCAAAAAGCTTAATTGCTGGTAAGTACTCAGTCTAGAACACTAGGAAAAATAATATAAACTAAAATCTTAAAATTAGATTGGATTTGTTTGCAAAACTTAACTGTAAAATATTTATTTTGCAAACATATTTGTGTACATATTTAACTTTGTTTTGGTTTTTATATTGGTTTTGATTAGTCAGCTTTCTTAGGAATAATTCACATGATTCATTTTTATCTGTTGTGTTTTATACAAACCTTAAAATAATATGCATAAACAAATATAAATGCTTAACTTTTTATAAGCCTGCGGTTATAAATTCGATTTTGTAGGGCAACCCTTTTAGTTTCTAGCATTAACGTCTTGATATGTACGCCTAAATATATTTTAATTTCGTTTAACTTTTGAATTTGTCTTATCGCAAGGCACCAATAAATCAGTGGTTTAGCATATGATTTTATATTATTTAAATTGGACCTGATATCATAAACTCGTAAATAAATCTACAAGTTTCACCCCACTGTACATTAAATCGATTTTCGATCTAATTTCCGCCCGTGCATTGATCTATTGCTAATCGTGCCGGGGCAGGTGCAGTCGTTTGTGAAAGCTTCGATCTGTTGTATTTGTTTGGGCCTGCGATCTGGGGTCTGGGGTCTGGGGATCTGCCCACTTTGCTGCTCACTTCTACTGCGCCGCCTGCTTTCACTCGACCCAAATCCGGGGCAATCTTCTAACCAGTTTAGAAGTGTCCACTTTGGAGCGAGTCACGATTCCCTGGGCTGGAAAAACACGCGCCCCTCGAGAAAAACGCTTGGAAAAGCGTGAAAAGCAGTTGAGCTACTTTTCGAGATGGCTCCCCCAACTCTTGACCCATCTGCGATAAGAGCGCGTGATGCCTTAAAAGGGGGCTCCACTGTACATTTATCATTATTAAAATACCATCCGTTCTCTGTTTATTTCAGGGGCAGTGATCTCAGCGATGTGTCCATCATCAAGCGAATGCGTGGAGTGGAAGTTTTGGCTCTGAGGTAAGTAATGAAATAAATCTCATATAAGGATCATTGCGATTATCATTTCCTGACCCGTGATCTGATTGATCCAGAGTCGGGTTCCCTGCTGCCCAGAAAAGCGAGAAAGATATATTAGACCGATGTGATATTTGCTTTCAAGTGATGTCATCGCCCCATCATTAGGCAAGCTGAAATACGAGAAATACTTTGGCACGCTCAAGCGCGTAATTAATGCAAAAAGCAGCAGCAACAACGGCCGCAGAAAACTACACAAAATAGCTAAAAGTCGTGGGAGCTCCAAAATTGGCAATAGCAACTGGCCGCGTACTTTTCCAAGTCGCGTAGGCCATTGCGTAGGGGGTAGATACTATGGTTATGACTCGTATCTGCCAGATACTTTTGTTTGTGCTAGTTGTACTTCATCTCGTACTTGTTACTTGTACTTGTACTGGCACTCGGTGTACTTGCATGTCGCTCGATAACTTTGCATGCGCTGCTGCTGCTGCTTTTGCCTTAAAAGGCGACAATCATTTTGACTGCCAAGGTCGCCGAAATCGATTCGCTGCCAAACTTCACCGTCATCTGTTGGCAATATGCTGACAACTCTCGATTCTCTGACGATTCGTTAAATTATGCATATGGAAGAGATATAGGAGGAGGTGTATACAAGAGTTCGTGGCCTTATAAGGAGCGAACTCGGCGCGATTTGGCAATGAACTTGGGGAAGAGAACCGTGAGAATAGCTGTTTGGATCAGGAAATAATAATGTGGGTATGGGCGAATCAGTTGTTCCGAAAGGAATTATCAGATGGAGCGAATACATTTTTAAGCCCCACTTAAAAGGAATCTTTAATTTTGATCTGGGAGTAGCAGAAAACACGCCATAAGGAGTAATCGATTAAAAATAAAGGTATTCCATAAGGAGACTAGAAATAATCTGATTTAGAAAAGTAATTTTGACTTCAGTTACGTAGATATAAAAGCTCAGATATATATATGAGCTCAGAAAACTTAATATTAGTGTGGGTTTTAGGAGTAAACGAATTTGAGCCCATCTTGATAAAAAGCAAAAGTTCTCCTTTTTTGGCATCTTGTTTTCTGGTTTTGTTGACTCGGAATAAACGCCAGATAATGAGCTTTTTAAAAATAAATTTATTTGTCTAAAACAAAAGTTAGTTTAAATAATACAATACTTATATAAAATACTTACTTTTATTTTCTTTGACAGCAATTAAGATTTCTGGGTTTTAATTTTTGTTGTCAGAATGATAACACAAATTCTGTCAATAGATGTTTGAAGTCGGTTTTTGTGAAACCAATGTTCTTGTTAAGTGGGAGTGAAGATTAATTAACTTGATTTCATTTAAGACAAGTCACAAATTTCTTAAATAATGTCTTTTCTAAACTTTAACCGCTTCGAAACTATATTAGCAGATACTATTGCTCTTAAGAATTGTTCTTGTGCAACTTCTCTTATCAGGAAGCTATTACCGCAAGCGAGACTACCGAACTGTCGTGGAGGTTTATCAGCCGATAGATAATGTTACGCGTTTCCTATATACAAACGTGAATGAATTAATTGATATGGCGAGCGTGTAAGCCAGAGGGCAATAACTTCTCATTGAGGGCTGCCCTGTTTGCATTATTTTACTTGGCTTAGCATTGTACAACGAAAACCTTTCAGACTCAACTCGTTGGGCATTAGTTTTACGTGGGGTTCTCTACTTTGTTTGGGTGTTTGTTGTGCTAGGTTGAAGTGGTGTACGCAATAAATGAGCCATAAATCAGATTGGTTCACTATGCTTCAGGTAAAATGCGTTGGCGTAGTCTTCATTTGTTGGGTGTATTTTTCGCCTCACTTATTACCATTCCATTTCCCTTGCGTTATGAGTGTGCATATTGATTTGACTTGCGTGCTGGCAGCTCTTTTCTTTTCTACTTTCACGGACCTATCAATGGTATATCCACTTGGTGGGACTCGAGTGCTGGGTAACCTTGACTCTTCAGGGGGAACATTGATTATGCATATTTAATGAGGGGCACACATTCTTGGCCGTACTCCCGATTGCCCTGATTTATTTCCCGAACTATTAATAGGGAAGCGGAGCTACGAATTCCAGATACCAGACACTCACTGAGGCAACGCACTCGTGTGCCATTTAGCGATCTTCCTGGCTAAGTTTAGACAGTTGTTTCTGTCGTCCCGCCCTGCATAGGAAAAAAAATGTTTCTAGTATCAACACAGGGAGAAAAAACACTGAAATGTGGCATTATATTGGAGAGTTATTGATTTATAAATAGCGCTTAACATTTTTATTAGAACATCATTTATTAATGTACAGATTTCATTCAGCAGAGCAAAATAATGTTGTTTGTGTGCTCAACACGATCTCATACGACTAAACTTCTTCTCAGATTTTGTATAATATGTTAATTAAATTGTTAAAAACCAGAATAAAACTAATAAACTGTTAAATTTATATAAATATCATAACCTTACTTTAAGTTTGGTCAAACCCATAAATAGCTTTATATATTATTTATTTAAATTCGATGAATTTGTCTTTATTATTTCAAAGTTGATTTTCCCTCAGTGTGGCAAAATCCGTTTCCTTTACTTATTCAATCAGTCAGGCAATCAAGGCACGCTTTTGGCCATCGGCAATTGGCCACTTCAGAGTAATTAGCATTGTTAGGAGCCGAGGTGCTAAGCGGGGATTCGCCCGGAACACGACTTCAAACCTGACCTAGACGCAGACAAATGATGACAATCAGCTTTTCCCCCTGCCGAGCATCTTAAACTGTTATTTGTGGGGAATTCTGCGAAGAATCCGACGAGTTAATGACCGCACGCAGCTGCCGGAGAATCTTTTGTGTTGTTTTGAGCATGATTCACGGCAGTTAGTTGTTGGCGCCTTTGTCGCCTTCCAGAGAAAGTTTCTTGAACCTAAAAGTTGTGTTTCTTTCTGCTGCAGTGTCAACAAGATCAGCACGCTGTCGCCTTTCGAGGATTGCAACAAACTGCAGGAACTGTATCTGCGCAAGAACAACATCTCGGACATCAACGAGATCGCCTATCTGCAGAATCTGCCAGCACTCAGGTATCTCTGGCTGGAGGAAAATCCCTGCTGCGACCGAGCGGGATCCAAGTGAGTAACTCTAATGGAATATTACAAAAATTAAAAAAATAAATAAAAAACACAATTTATTCTATATTTAAGACAGTGTTAGATATCTCCTAAACTATTCTTTATTTAACAAATACATCAGAACTCTACATAATTTCGATTTTTCCAAAGCCTAAGCATTTATTTCAAATACATTTTACTTTTTCTCACATTTATGATTTTTGTAATATTTTAATAAGACAGTCTTTGCTTGAAACAACGTTAAAGTTGATTAATAGTGATAACTCTGAAGTTTTTAATTAGCTCTGAAACGTGATTTTGTGCAATAATTCCTAAAGCTGTGAATCGTGCCAAATATCAAATTTGTATTTTATAGTATATATTTTATGTTTGTTTCTTTTTAAAGATGTATAATATGGGATTTAAATGGTTGTTTTTTTTAATTTAATGCAGGTTTTGTTATAAGTTAAGTTAAGTTATACCTCATTGTTTTTCCTATATTTTTTTTAATTACTATTAGAGACATGCAGCTGCCCCTGCAAATTCTATTGCTAATTTTAGAAATAACAAAACGAGCATATATAGTTTTCCGAGTCTGTGGTTAATTTGCTAGAGAGAAGCCCCTAATGATCGGTCTCACCTCTGTCTAACCACAAACACAGCTATCGGGCGGTCGTGTTACGCGCTTTGCCCAACCTGAAGAAACTTGACAATGTGGAGGTCACCCAGGAGGAGTTGGACGACGCCCTGCGAGGAGGCGGTGGCGCCGCCCAGGAGGAGGAGGTGTACGAGGATGCCTACCAGCAGCAGCAGCAGACGGCGCGAACGTCGCCGCAGCAGATGCCGCAGCAGCAGCAACACAGCTACCCGCAACACTCCCCGCCGCCGCAGCAGCAGCAACAGCAATATCACCACCAGCAACATCAGCAACCGCAGCAGCAACAGTCGCAGCAGCAGCGCCGCAGCTCCAGTCCCATGAAAGAGGTAAATGGCTCCCATTGTCTGGGTGGATTTTCCCACACCACGCCCTGGTTGAGCGGCTATAATCTCTCGCCTTCGTAATGAACTCTCGTAATCAACTCTCGCCCCCGTCTTGGTCTATTTCTGTTCCCCCGAACCCTTTCCCATTAACCCTGCATTTGTTAACAAGCCGCCGCAGTTGGCCAGTCCGCTGGTCAACAACAGCAGCGAAGGGAACATCAGCCACAGTGCCAGCGATCTCTACCAGGTGCAGACGGCCCAGCCGTTCAAGGGTTCTCAGCCACCCACACCCACCAAGGTACTGGGAGTTCAGCCAAAAAGTTAGATTTATTTTATTTTATTATATATTCATTTATTATTTTTCTTCAATTTAACTTTAAAGTACTTCTTTGATGCAAATTGTCTTTATTTAGTACACATTATATAGAGAAAAATGAATTAGAAATGCATTACTAATAGTAATGTACACCCTTTTACTGTTTTTATTTCAATGGCATTAATTTTAATTGAATTATTCATTCAATACCTGTTTTTTGTAGAAGTGCTTGAGAATTATTTGGTTTAAGTTATTGGTTTTACATAGATTAGCTATTCTGCCGGTTGAGTTTATTTAATAATTACGTTTTATTTGTTTCTGTCGAACATGATATAGCCCTTAAAATAGTTAATAGGCTTCGGCAGCATATATTTCAGGCTCTTGTAAGATCTGAGATCACTTTCCCCCTTTCCTTAACAAATATTCCCACTAATCTCGTTTCGGCCTTCCTCCAGGAGCCCGTGCATCCGCCATCGCCCATGTATAACACCATAACCAAAGAGCAGCGCACCTCCTACCACCAGTACGATGTAAGATCCACTGCCCTTCACCACCAGAAAATACCAAATAACACCATAACAGCCCCACGCATCCGACATGACAGAATTGAGCTTGTTGTCGGGCCCACTTTCGGGGCCCTATTTTCGAGGTTCGAGGTTCGAGCATTGAGGCTCGAGGGTGTGGGCCTGTCACACTCGAATGGAGGAGAGGATGGGGATTCCGGGGACAGTCACGCGATGGCTTCGGCATGGTTAAGGTTCTCTTATTTTCCAGCTTGTCCAATAGGCCATTGTCTGCTTGCCGGCTTTTGTGGGTTAAGTCAGTCAGTTGACTTTCGAACTAAGTACAATGAGAAATGGGAACTGGGGGACTATAATTGCCAAAACAAAAGTCTAAAATGAACTATATAAAATGGGTCATTACATATTCATACACGAGAGGAAAATAGTTAAACTAGTTAACCAGAAATAATCATAGAATAAATTATCTCATTATAAAAATATTTTATTAAGAATCCAGGTACTTAATTAATTATCTTATTTTATTAAATGATGAGAACAGGTATTGTTTCTTTTTTATGATGCTCTTGTTTATGTTGATAAATTTTTTTATGTGTGGAATTTCTTGTTCTAATTGTCTTTTAAATGGTAGACTTTTCTGTGTGTCTAGAGAAAGGGCTAGTCCCTCGGAAAAACCACTGAACCAGTGTGAAATTGCCCCTACCCTTCGAATGACTTGCTCAACAATTTGTCATGTGTGGATTGCTCTGGGGAATAGGGGATATAAGCTCGTATCTAACGTTTCTAATCTGCTGCCTTTCTTACCAACCATTCACCGCTCCCAAATGCAACCTAAAACCAACCGAAAAAAAACACAATTAAAATGCAAACCGCACACTAACGAAAACACTATTGGACTCGACGAGCAGCGCTCGCCGGGATCCGACCAGGAGAGTAGTACGCAAACCTACAGGGAGGTGCGGCCCACGCCGCTCCCTCCCAGCATCTCCGCACACTCGATGAAGGTAAGCCCGGCCATCCTCACCGGAGGCGAAAGCGTGGATCGCTGGGTCAGGACGATGGTGAAGCTATCTAATTGTGGTATTCCCGCACAGGAATACTACCAGTCGGACCGGCCCGCCTATCCGGCACACTACCGCCACAGCCAGACGGACCTCACCGAGTGGGAGGAGCACCAGCAGGCACCCCAGGTGCACCACAATCCCTACGGCAGCCAGATGCAGTTGCACCATCCGCAGCGCCGCAGCGCGGGACCAGAGACGACCGCCTACCGGAATGGGAGTGCCCGCGAGAATGGCGGCGAGTGGGATCCGGAGGACAGGCCCAGGACGAGGTGAGGTCATCGCCCCAGGTCAAGCGGTCGTGCCTATTAGCTTATCGTGGTTTTCGTTTATTTTATTATGGCTTTACAGTGTGTGACATATCACAGATAGCTAGCCAGGCAGTTCGTGTTTACTTTAAATGTTTACATTGTTTATTTTGCAATGGGAAACGCGCTATGTGACAGGAATTTTAAACAAATAACATGTATTTATATTTAATTGTTAACCGATACTGTTATGTATATTGCATCAACAAATGGGCTTTAATTTTTTCTGTTTTTTAAAGAATTTGTATAGCCTAGATTTATTTTATTTATCCTACTTTTTTGGAGCCTAATGAAACTCGGGCATATTTCTTCATCGGTAGATTTTGTAGCAAATGACCTCTTAATATTATCGATTTACATAATTATGGATCATGATTATGTATTTTACAATCGAATTCTAAATATATAACATGATATCATTCAAATTTAACTAGATTTAAGGTTGATAAACAAAAAATCAATTGGCACTTAGTATTTAAGTGTCTTAATAACATTATTAAATTTAAATATTAAACTAATTGTTTATCATTTCCAGGCGACCCGAGGGTCGTTATAGTGATTCGACCACGACTCTGTCGGCCTCTGTGATGAATCACTACTCAGGCTACCATCGCAGGCCTGTTAATAGGGTGCGTACATATTGTGACACACCTTCGATAAGCTCGATCGATAACTGAATCATATCCCTCTTCCGCAGAATTCTAATCTGCTGTCCGCCACACTCTGTTTGGTGAAGGAGTTGGATTACGCCAGTCTGGAGGTGCTGGAACACGCCGTGCGATGTCGCATCGACGAAATGGCGGGCGAATGATGAAGACGACTCTCTAATCGCATGTCGATTAGCTAATCCAACGCTTTTGGGGAGTAACACACAAATGACCAGAAAAAAACACTTAAAAGACAGGCAGCAGAAGCTGCAGAAGATGAGAGGAGACAAGAAAAAAGCTGATATTATACTAACGTCTTAAGCAACAAACAAAAACAAATCAGATACTTAACGAGAATAACGATTCATACTTGCCAATTGTAAACTGTCATAGTGTAACTAGCATCTTTTGTAAGCATTTTGTCATGTAACGAACTTTGCTAACGGAATCAGAAAAAGAAACAGAAACGTAGGAGATAATTGCCGATGGAGGATATTTTAATGGATAATTTAATGCTTAGGTTGACTTTCGCCTATTGATCCCAGATCCCGTTCAGTTGATCCCCGATTAAGCACAGACCACTTAAACTAGCCTTCTTTCGTACTTAACTCGCGAGGATCGAAACTAACGAACTAACGACGCCCAAGGCGCCAAGCACAATGTATCTTCCTTGTTTCTTTGTAAGATTAGTTGAAATTTATACTCATGACTTTGTTAAATATTTGTACACAAAAGCAATTAACGCTATACCTTAATTTTAATATATTTACCTATAATGCAATGAACACGTCCAGTTTATGTTTGCCGTTCTCTATTTAACGATTACGTTGGAAACTACTATGCGAAAAATAAACAAATTAACAGTAAATAGGCGTTTGATATGTTTTGGATCAGAAAGGGAGATTTCTGCATTCTGCAATTCCCATTGTTGAGAAACACCGACATAGTGTTCCAATATTGAATATTTATGAATTGAATATAAAATACAGTTAAATTGAATGAATAAATATGTTGTCAGGGTCAAGAATGTCTGTCTTTAGGTATAAACTGTTCATCATCAGATCTTCTACAAAAATTTTATATGTTTGGGTATATTCTACTGTATACTATGTCTATAATCTTTAACGTTGACTCAAAATTGGAATTTGAGAGTCCATAACTTTACCAAATTTAATCCGATTCCAAAGTGGCATACCTCTAAAGACTTGTGATTCGATCCTCTAAAAATCTGCATTCAAAATTTTCCATTTAACGTTGGTCAAAATTTTGACCCATTTTCATGTTAGTTATTTCCAATTTTCCGATGTCTTGTAAAAGTGTGACTCAAAATTGGACTTCCATAGTCCATAACTTTACCAAATTTAATCCGATTCCAAAGTGGCATACCTCTAAAGACTTGTGATTCGATCCTTTAAAAATCTGCATTCAAAATTTTCAATTTAACGTTGGTTAAAATTTTGACCCATTTTCACGTTAGTTATTTCCAATTTTCCGATGTCTTGTAATAAATTGACTCAAAATTGGACTTCGAGAGTCCATAACTTTACCAAATTTAATCCGATTCCAAAGTGGCATACCTCTAAAGATTGGTAATACGGTCCCCTAAAAATCTGCATTTAAAATTTTCAATTTAATGTTGATCAAAATTTTGTCCCATTTTCATGTTAGTTATTTCTAATTTTCCGATGACTTGTTTAATAATAAAATCGAAAGAAAGGAACAGAAAAACCTAATATATTTTAATCTCCGCACGTAAAAAAAATGCTTAAATTTTTTTGTCAGATCTCAGCATATAAATTAAATATGTTAAGAATGTCAAATTTGATTAACAGTATTTAGGAGTTCGCGCGGTTTTATTTCAAATACTGCTTGCGGTAGTTGAAGCGGTTATGGACTGCTTACACCGATTAAAGCAGTAAAGCAGTTTTGGGATTTCAAATTATAAAGTGAAACTACAAAAAAGGATCAGATTATGAACAGAAAAAAATTAAATATTATATATTTAGAAACTGAATAAAAATTCCAAAATATGTTAAAATGTCAGCATTTATGCTTACAAGTTCAGCATGCTCTGATCAAAATATAGCATTTTAATTAAATGTACTTAATAATTCCATTTTTGATATCTTTTCTTGGTTGGAACCCGTTCTGACTACCCAAGAAAACAATTATAATCTTTTTTTTGTTAAGAGGGGCTTTACAACATTTAACGTATATAATATAATAATGCCTTTATTTGGTTGTGTAGTTGTTTGCTTGGTTATTTGTTGTGAAATTGCCTTTAAAACTATTATTTGTTTGTGTTATTTTGACTATGACATCGGACATTACCGGCTACGATATTGCCCGGCCATAGAACAAAACTAAAAAAACGAAACTGCGAAACGGTATTATCGGTTCGAAACGGTTTTCGACTCGGTTTTCGTAATTGATGATGATGTGTCTGTTGGTTATAAATATTATGGATATTATTCCGGCATAATCCGTCTGATCGGTTCGTTAGCCGTTGTATTCATGGCAGAAACGCAACGCCTAACACATATACATATACATAAATGTAAAGTGCATTTCGTATATTTTATTACTGAGTGATTAACTTGCTACACATCGATATACATACTGAAGCCGCATTAGGTTATCAATGAATGTGCTCTGAAAATTGCCTTAAACATTGCGATATTCTCTGTAATAACTTTGGTGCAATACATATTTGTTTTTAATATATTTTGATAAGTGCGCGGTTAATATTATCAATAGTACTGGTATATAGACACTGAGTATGTGAACTTCCTTGCCTGCTGTTCTCCTCCTAAGTTATAGTTAATTATTGTCAGTCACAGCGTCGCGTTTGTCACAACAACGTGTGCTTTTGTATTGACTATATCTTCGAGTTCGAAAATGGTATTATTATATAATAGAAAATCTTAGAGACTAATGGCAGATGGCCGATCTTGTTGCCGCTGCCGCAACGCATGTCTTCCAGAATGCGTTTTGCTGAAATTGTCTTCCATTTCATACAATGCGAAAAAATGTCTTCCAAACACACAGATAATATGCATATAATACCTCATATGCGATTATTTATGCTGAACAATATGACACCTAGATATTATGATAACTAAGGTTTACAGTTGTTATATGTATATACCATATATAAATTATACGGGTCTGGTAGATCCAGTTTAGCCCGTCTGAGTTTCTGATTTGCAATCGCAACTCATTGTGTGGATATATATAGACCAATTACATTTTCGTTAGTTAGTACATGTATAATTGTATGTGTTTATGGGCCGTAACCAACACTAAACTCTTGGTTGGCTAATTGTGGCCTAATTGCGACTCTCATAATTGATGCTGATTTTAATATCTCAACGCGTTTGTTTCATCAATAACTTGTAAGCCAAAACAAAGGAAATTCTTTGGATACCAACTTGTTTTTGCCTCATGGTGTTAAATTGATATGCTGATTCCATCGAACCATGGATTTAATGTTAATGCAAATAAATAAATGAGTGGGTTTTGGGTAGTGTATACCACGATATGTTGTGTACATTGATATTAGTTGGTTGTTGATTTCATTTCATATGTCTCCTTAGTCCAACTCCTTGACTAATCACTTAAATATGGGTTGTGACCCCCACGGATGAGTTCGGATCCCCTTTGGCTGAGGATCCTCATCCTCCGAGGCGGCGCACTGGAAGCCCTGTGTGATTCTGCTGTTTTCGAGGGGGAGGGGTTCACCCCCGCCCTTCGCTTACTTTTCTACAGTTACTTTAAATTGAAATTAGTTACAAATTAATTGATTCGCATAGGGAATTTTTGCTTCTCTCCTCCTCCTCATATATTCTTCTCTTTATGATTTTTTTTTTGATTTTCCTATAGTTTTCTTGCTTATCCTTACAGTATTGAACTAAACTTTTTTTCAACAAGATTTTCGATATCGGTTATTTGGAACACCATTTTCATATGGGATACCATTATAAAGACAACACTAGCACTAAACTGAAGTCCAAAAACAAAGAACAACAAAACGTCATATAATTCTCGATCTATATATAATGGGTTTGTGATTTAGCGCCTCCATCGGGAGCGATCCCCTCAGGAAGGTGGGGACCGCTCAGCTGAAGAACGGCGATAAATCACAGTTGCACAAAGACCCGCCATCGCCAGTCTTGCAGAGCACCTTGCACACTTCGTTCCAGTCCGGAGCCAGAGTGGTGGCGTCCGTATCTAACCCGGCTACTACAGGAGGTACGGAAGCTGCGTCGACCGTTCTCCGTAAGATGTTCGTCTCGGAACTGGGACCGTGTGCTGGACCGCCCTGCACTCCACTGGCCGTCTCCTCCGGTGTCCCCTCCACCCGGACGCCCTCCTCCTGCCTCCTGCGCTCCTCCTGCTGGCAGGGACTGCAACCGGGCAGGGGGCGATCTCGCTGCTCGCAGAAGCTCGAGCAGACCAAGTCGCCCACAACACCTGCAAGAAATTCAAACGAAAATTTATAAGGAATGTGAAATATAGAATATATAACATTTTTGAACTCTTAAAAAAAGTTTTAGATTTGATAATAACAATTTTTTAAAAGTATTATCAAATTCAAACTCAATCTGGCTTAAAATATGAAATTTTTGGAGTCCGTGACATTTTTTAACGTTTACATTTAGAAAATCTTTTTATAGAGGATCAACTATGATCAAGGTTTAAAAAATGTAAGTTTGCAATAAAATATTTTAAAATATATTCTTAATTAAATTTATAGCATTTTTGGGAACTTAACAATTATATAAATTAATTTCGTCTTACCCCTAGGCAGTCCACACAGTTGCCGGCACTTGGCCACATCAAACTCCGGTCTCAGGATTGGGTTTTTGGCCCCATCAGGCGTTGAGGCAACGCCCAGGCCAGCTCTGGAAGGATCAGCAAGATAATGGTTAAATGAAAGGAACTCTCAAGTCGAATAAATGTGTCAGATAAAAAGGATCCTAAAGAAAGCTTTACCACAAAGTTGCCTAGAAACAGATCGAAAGACAAATGCAAAACATCTCGTGTAAAATAATTTAAGCCAAATCGTTGGATTTGAACTAACTTTTTACAACAAATTCTAGTTTCAGTAAGACTGAGTTTAAACCAATTTTTTTTTAATTTAGAAATACAGCGCCAGAACTTACATTCGTTTATCTGTCTGTACTTTTGACTAGTACAATTGTCTTTTGCGTTTGCATCTTAATATAACAATCTTAATCATGAATTTCACTATTATCAAAAACTCTTTGTACATTTTAACAAATATATGTTACTATATTGTGATAAGATTGGCAACGTCGTCGACCAATATTTACAAGAAACCTAATAAAAACCTTGGTAAAGTGAGAAAAACAGTATTAATTTTCTACTTTAATAAACTGCACTATATTTATTTTAACAATTCATTATACTATGAAAAAAATTGTTATTATTGGGTTTGAAAATTAATAGGACTTTTTTTGGCGCGCAAATAAAATTTGTTGTTTGATCGAGTTATTCAGAGATTCGAACTATGAAATTTCGACTGTTGAATATATACAACTACTAAATATAGTTGTCTGGAGCTATTCCCACATAATTTTTCTTGAGTTCTTGAAAATTCAAATTTAAAATTCAAATTTAAATTTAAAACTAAACTTTTCAAACTCTACCGTTTGCCTATTAATTTCTGCACACACATGACTAAAACTTGTAGACGGTATTTCCCACTTAAAGTAGTAGTTATAGCAAGCGATCAGGAATGTGGATTATAAGTGCCTGACAGTCGAGATTACGGGAAACCCTCGATAGAACCCACTTGAAAAGCCGTCGCATTTCGCAAATGATTTTCCATGGCCACCGACGCACTTTTTGTGTTACTTTTTTGTTATCAATATTATTTCGTATTTTTTGGGAAAACACTTTACACTTGTAGCAAACACTTGAGTCGGTTAAGTCCAACTCTATTAACTTTGGTAATTTCCAGAGTTTTGGATTGCTGTTTATCCGAACTTACCCGCAGAGCTCTTGACACAGCAAACTCCAATCCTGAACTGCGCTGATGGTTTGGACGTCTTCAAGGATTTTGGCTGCTGTTTGCGATGGCAACGCAGCATCCCCCAAAGCGTCGTCCTTCGGCACCGGCGATGACGTCACTGTTTGCGCCGACGCAGAAAGTATAAGGACGATGGCCAATAGCAGGCCGCGAATCAATCCATATCTCCCCATTTTTTCCTGTCGCTTTTCCACACGCTTTCCCATCGCTGGGCTGAAAAGAGAAGGCCAGATTACAAGACTGGGGGATGGGTTTTCCGGATGGCTTGTGGGGGGAGGGGGGCGTGTTATCCTTGGGGGACTGGGCCAAAATGGAGACTGTTTGGCCCCTTACAATAGGAGCAATTGTGCTCGAAATGCAATTATCGCGCTCTCGAAAATAGGCAGCAAAAAGCAGCCTCATGGGATTTTACCCCAGGGCCTAATCCCTTCTCCATTGTTATCCCGAGTATTTGCTATCCGAATTTCATGCGCTTGATTTGCCAAACCCAAAAGGGTTATGCAATCGGCAGTCTCTTAGCTGAAGTTCCTGGCATCCAAGCGACGCTTTTGAAAGCCATGTTCAGTTAAAATACCTCACAAAAATACCTGAGCTAACCAACCTGCTGGAATCCTATTTTGTCAGCGCAAAGACAGGCTAAGCAGACAGGAGCAGACCGAAACTCCCATTCCCAGCCTGAATCCTGTTTATGGCCCTCGGGTGAAGAGCATTCTCTGGTCCCATGTTCGCAGTTCAAACTCGAGTGCGAAAGAGGACGCTTCGCCCTGGCCAACAACTCCCTGTCTGAGTCAACTTCCCGACAATCCCACTCCCCTACGTGGGTGGCACTAAACTCCAAACATTTTCGCCTATCTGGGTTACAGGGCCTACTTGCGCTACTCGCAATCACAGCCAGGTGAGTATCCTATTTTCTGCTCAATAGTTTGTTTCATTGCACGAATCCGTTCACTTCCTATACCCTTTCAAAGGGTGTTTGTGACTTTTCTACTCTGAAGTTTTTTAAAATATTAAAATAGTGGGTGCTTATTTATTTTTGTTCTTCAGAACTTCAATATCATTACACCTTTCTGGAATAAAGGTTTTCAACTATTAAGGAATGAGGGTACCCTCATTAAAAATAGTTGACTTTGCATATTTGTGAAATTAAATCTTAGTTCTAAAACATTTTAATAATTTTCTAAAATGCATTTAACCATAACCATTTTAACTTACACATTTACTTTATTATTAGACTTTCTCTGTGATTAAGAAAAAAATAAGCTCCAATTAGATTTTTATAATCCAAGAAACTTATACAAATAGTTTCAAAATATATATCTTTAATAGTATTTTCCAAATAAAACTATTAAATAAAATATTTTCAAAGGACAAATTTATATAGTAACTATAGGCATTTTAGGGTACTTTAAGCATCGGTTAAAAATATATTTTTAAATCGTTTGTCCTTTTGTTGCCATGTAAGCTTCTGTATCCGTTTCCCTTTACAACTTACTGTGCTTTTCAAAAGTTCGACTCAATTAAATCCAATTGTACGCCACACCTGCTCCTCTTGAAATGCTTAAACTCTTAACTCGGCTGGATTTATATAAAGCTGTCCGATCCAAATGGTAGCAGTTGGCGAACTGAGCCTCTGGCCAAAACGAAAGCCGATGCCAAAATCCCACTAGCTAATAATAAATGCTTTTGATGGCCTTATCTGCCGGTGTCATTGATTCAAGTGCGAATCAGTGGATATGCTATCGCAGATTTCCATCGCCATATGCCCGGGGCCCCTTTTCCGTCTGGTTTTGTCCAAAAATCTGCGATAAGTTCGGAGTGCCTAATTATTATTGGTAGCACATGCCGCTCCAGATAAGCACCTACATTATTTCGCCATATTTAGTCAGTCTAAATACCATAAGTTGTTGGCTATCGAAAATATTTGTCTGACACTTGTGATGGATGGGCTTTGCTAAAGGGTTTAGTGAGAGACTTTACTTCAGGTGGGTTAATGACAGCTAAAGTGTGCACATTTATAATAAATAAGTGCCTTATTAAATCACGTGATTTTAAAGCTAAATGGTGTTACTTTTATTGCAGTTTTATTTAAATATTATGTTAAAAATCTAAAATCTTTAAAATTAAAGGGCTAAATAGTTGCATTGAAAAATCTTTCTGTTTCATTGTTGCTGTACTTTAAGTACCGCCCACTTAAAAGTTATGATAATGAGGTAATTCAAAACAGTTGTTGCCTCATTAAAAGTAATGATTTTTTAATTGATTTTCTTTTGGGTATGAAAAAATGGCTCACTTAACTTTTTATTCTTAACCATGAAATGATGATAGGGTCCTTGCAAACAGTTATTGCTTCCTTGAGAGCCTGCGTTGGTTTTTCTTAAACCAACTCAAGGCTGAAGTCTTGTTTAAATAAGCACCTACTTCCTTTTTTGTAAGTCTAGCAAAAATGGCATTAAATAAAAGATTGATCACAAGGTTTTTCCACAGAGTTATTGCTACTGTAATGTCCCCCTAAAGTTGCAATCAGTTACATCGAAAGACACTTTTCAAGTGCCAAAGCCTTCGAAACGAATATGCTGACGCAGTGGATCCCGCACAAGGACCAAGACATCCTTGGCCAGCTGCTCCATGTCAGATAAGAGTGCGAGGAGCTCTGTTCGTGGGAACAGTGTTTTTACTGCTCTCGTTGTTTCAGCTGCTCCGCTTTGATGGACGTCATTTTAGCCCCTGCTCCTTTCGCCTTCGTCCTTTTCCAAGTTACATAACATTCCCATATGCGTTCAGGCCCTCAAAAGTATGCTACGAAAAGCGTTCTATTAGAAATGATGCAATTTCACTTCCAGATACATATCTTATTTGCACATAAAAAGTGGCTGGGGGAGAGGGAGGGGGGAGAGCGCCTAGCTTTGACCCAAATTTCATTTTGTTCTATATACTAGATTCTATGTTTTCGCGTTCTATATGCAGAGTATATCTATTCAAACACATACGAAATGGGGGAAATGGAAGTAATTATGGATGTGTTTTCGCTGTCATTCGGCAGGAACTCTCATAAAAAGTTGTGGGTCATTGTAAATGTCAGAAACAGTGGCAAAATTAGTTTGTTAATTAGCTTTTCATTTGGTCGCCCCCTCGGAATCTTTATTTCCTCCATAGAACCCATTTTTTTTCCCTGTTCGGTTTTTAGTATTTTCCAGGCGTGCGCACATATTTTATGCCTTGGTGTGTATCTGTTGGATACTTTGGGGCGAAAGTGTAAGCTCCGCCCACGCCCAATGGCTCAACAAAGATGGTTGCCGAAAAATCGATGACGTCACTCCAGAGAATTTCCCGCATTTTCCTCTGCCGTGTTGTTGAAGGTTATGCAAGAGATGGTGGGCAGCCATTTTGTGGGGCTGAAAAGCTTCGTAGGCAGCCCAGTCGGATGCTGCTGCTCATAGCTCCGCAGATCGTCAGCGAGTGTAGGCTGCTCAGTTCCCTAAGTTTTCCACACAGTGAAAGTAACAAGATATATATTAAAAGCAGTTATATATATATTATATTTAATTCAGCAGTCAGTTCTGCCAAGTCAAGTCCGTTTAATCAGCGAGTTACAGCTCCGTCCCGCGAGTGTGTTTTCAGTGTTGTTGTCTTGAAGGAACTCTGTAAGTTGTCGCTAATTTAGACCACAAGTAGTATCGCAGCTCCATCTTAGAGATACATTTCGATACATTTCGTCCTCGCACATTCCTCTAGTACTTTTTGGTTGAAAGCCTCGTCGGTGATTCGTCGCCACCAGCACACAGTCAAAGTGAATTATCTCAAGCAGTATATCGACGATATCCGCAGGATTATCGGTAAGACTCCCCAGATTATTGTCTGACTTTCGTTGCATAAGTTTCGTACTTTCCAAGGTTTTCGCCATTAATTGCAGCCGTCGCGCTGTCTGTATCCCTATGTAAATTACATAGAGATATATATAAACGTATATATTTACAGTCGCAGGAAATTGGCTTAGCACTTACTGCGCAACAGCAGATGGCGCCAAAAGGGAAAGGAGGGGCCCTGAAATCAGTGTATATGTATATACTACATATTTACCTCCCACTTGGAGCTTGCCCTTCAGTTGTCCTTGTAACAAACCCCCAACCCCAAACCCAAAACCCCACTCCCCATTCCATTTTCCACTCTGTTTATTTGCACGCCCATTGCATTTTCACACCGTTTGTTTGTTTGTTTGTCTTGGTTATGCAATTTGTGTGTGGGCTGGTGTCAATGGAGGATGGAGGGAGGGGTTTTCGGGGGGAAGGACTTATGTAACACCTGCCTCGGGGCCCTCAGGTTTTGGTCGATTGCATAACATTGACTCACTTCATTTGTCCGAGCTCCATTTTTCTTACTTACAGCAGAGTCTGCATTCTTTGTAATCGCTCTCAGTAATTTATATCGTTTCTCACTTCTTATCCTTGCAGAGGAGAAAATGTCGCTCAATCCGAACGGGTACAAGCTGTCCGAAAGGACGGGCAAACTGACGGCTTATGGTGAGTACTTATTTTAATTTATTTAAAAATAAAAAAAACTTACAAAAAAATATGAGAAATACTGTTTTTTTTTTGGTAAATTTACGAATATTCTGCGAAAGTAAATTCGAAAAATATAATTATTTAGCTTAAATATACAAAATTTATAAGAAATTAGACTTTATAATTTTTTAGAAGACTCACATAAATATGTACATTTTCTTAAAAAAATATATAGGAGCAATAAATAGATTTAGAATGTGTAATTAGTATTACATACATCAAAATGTTTAAAAAATAATTTGCCCTCACTTTAAACAAAGATCTTATAAAAAAATTCTTAAATATTTTCTGCTTGTACATTGTGGCCAAGGAAATAATTTCTTACAAATATTGCCTATTATCAATGAATAATAAATATCAATAAATAATTAATATTAAAGCTTATTGTGCTAATCATAAATTGCACAGGGACTAGAAATAAATTTTGGTTGACAAGCAAGATTTATTCTCCAAATGTCGTCTTCAAGCCTGTCACATTCCTGCACACGAAAGATGTTTTATGAACATGTTTCGGAGGGGCATTACTTCGCCTTGATAATAATCCTGGCAAATATTGGTCCTCCGCATAGTTGCACTCGAATCGCTTTTGGCTGGGCAAATAATAAACGAGTGTTAAACTGACACTGCCAGGGACTCGAACAGAAAATGGGCAAG